ATTAAAAAGTTGTTCACAGAATTAATGACAGAAAACTTCTCAAACAGAGGGGAAGAATTTGACATACAGATAATTGAGGCATATACGCCTCCAACTAATCATGATTAAAAAAAGAAAAAAAAAACTTCACCTAATATACAATAGTCAAGATCCTGGAAACCCAACAGAAGAACAAAATATTGCAAGCAGTTAGAGAAAAGAAAAAAAACCACATGCAAAGGAAAGCACTTCAGAATCACAGCAGACTTTCAACACAAACCCTGAGGTCAGGGAGAACCTGGAGTGAAGTATTTCAAGCCGTAAAAGAAAACAACCTCCAACCTAGACTGATGTATGTTGAAAAACTCTCTTTTAAAATGGATGGGGAAACAAGATACTTCCAAGAATATCTGAGAAACTTTATGAATACCAAACTAGCACTACAAGGAATTCTAAACAATATCCTAGAAAAAGACAGTGAAGGTCAGAACACCAATTAGGCAAGGCAAGAAAATAAAGGGAGAGGGGAAAAAATTCAAAAGAGCCAACAAGAGAACAATAACATGACAATGATAAGTCAATACATATCAGTTATAACCATCAATGTTAATGGCCTCAATTCACCAATCAAAAGAAACAGACTGGCAGAATGAATTAAGAAGCAAAATCCAACAATATGTTGTATACAAGAAACATAATTAGTTCAAAAAGAAACTCATAGACTGAAAGTAAAAGTTTGGAAAACAGTTCTCTATGCAACAGGAGCCCAGAAAAGAGTCCAAGTAGTTATCTTATTCACAGACAAAGTAAATTTTAAACCAAAACTGATTAAGAGAGACAAAGAATGTTACTACATCCTTGTAAAGGGAACAATTCAAAAGGAGGAGATGACAATCATAAATATATATGTACCAAATAATAATGTCCCCATCTAAAAAAACATATTTTAAGGGACATGAAAAACCATATAAGCACTAATACAATTGTAGTGGGGGACTTAAATAGACAACAAATAGACAGATCATCTAGACAAAAAAATCAATGACCAAATACTAGAACTGAACCAAGCTTTTGAACAAATGGACTTAATAGATTACTACAGAGTGTTCCACCTCACAATATCAGAATATATTCTTTTCAGCTGCACATGGATCATTCTCCAAAACAGGCCACAAAATTGCTCATAGAACATGTTTAAATAAATACAAAGAAATTGAAGTTATCCCACGTATAGTATTAGATGATAGTATAATTAAGCTGGAGTTGAATAGCATAAGAAACTGTAAAAACTTCACAAACATATGGAAATTGAACAACACTCTCCTGAACAATCAAATAGTCACAGGAAATTAAAGAAGAATTAGACAGATTTTACAAATAAATGATAATGCCAATATAACATACAGGAATCTATGGGACACAATAAAAGCAGTTTTATGTGGAAAAGTCATAGCAGTGAATGCCCACAGTAGGAAAACAGAGTGAGCTCAAATAAACAACATAATGATGAATCTTAAGCTCCCAGAAAAGGAAGAGCAACAAAAACCCAAAGCTCATAAAAGAGAGGAAATTATAAAGATCAGAGAAGAAATTAATGCAATGGAGACTAAGAGAACAATACAGAAAAATCAACAAATCAAAGAGTTGGTTTTTATGAAAGAATACATAAAATCGATAAACCCTTAGCTAACCTTGTCAAAAAAGGAAAGAAAAGGCTCAGATCCATGCAATTAAGAATTAAAAAGGTGAAGTCACAACAGATCCAGGAGAAATCCAGAGGATCTTCAATACCTACTTTAAGAACCAGTACTCTAATAAAATGGAAAACCCAGAAGAAATGGACAGATTTCTAGATACTTATGAATTACCAAAGTTAAACAAGGAAAATGAAAAAAAAATTTTTTGTTTGTGTTTTGAGACAGAGTCTCACTATGCAGTTGAGACTGACCTGGAACTCACTATATAGGCCAGGCTGGTCTTGAACTCACAGTGATTTTCCTGCCTCAGCCTCTGAGTGCTGGGATTACAGACATGCACCACCATGCCTGGCTGAAAATGAAAAAATTTTAAACAAACACCCCAATTACAACCAGTGAAACTGAAAATGTAATTAAAAATTTACTAACAGAAAATTCCAGGTCCTAATGGCTTCACTGTGAAATTCTACAAGGCATTTAGAGAAGAGCTACTGCCACTATCTTTTAACTTTTCAATGAAGTTGAAAGGGAAGAAATACTTCCAAATTCATTCATGGAAGCAAGTGTTACTTTGATTCCAAAACCAGGGAAAGACCCAACCTAAATAGAAATACAGGCCAAGCTCCCCAATGAACATAAATTCAAAATCCTCAATAAGATACTAGCAAACAGAATTCAGAGGGTCATCAAGAACATCATACACCCTGACCAAGTTGGATTTATCTCAGGGATGTAAGGATGGTTCAACATATGTTAATCAATAGATGTAATACACTATATTAACAAAGTCAAAGACAAAAACCATATGATCATCTCAATAGATGCAGAAAAAGCATTTGACAAAATTCAATACCCAGTCATGATTAAAAACCTTGCAGAAAATTGGAATAGATGGTCTTTATCTCAACTTGATGAAGGCTGTCTAGAAAAACCAATAGCCAACATCATATTAAATGGTCCAAAAGTGAAAACCTTCATGTTAAAATCAGGAATAAAAGAAGGATGTCCACTATCACCACTCATGCTCAATATAGTTCTGGAAACATCAGCCAGAGCAATTAGACAAGAGAAAAATTAAAACAATAAAGATAGGAAAGGAAGAAGTTAAACTGTCATTAATTGCTGATGATATGATACTCTACATAGAAGACCCAAAAAACTCTACCAAAAGACTTCTAGACTTAATTGACACTTTCAGCAGAGTAGTTGGATACAAGGTCAACACTCAAAAATCAATAGCCTTCTTGAATACAAATAACAGACTCACTGAGAGAGAAATTAGGGAATAATTCCTTTCACAATAGCACCCCCCAAAAATGAAGAATCTAGGAATTAATGTAATGAAGGAAGCAAAAGACTTCTATACTGAAAACTATAGCACTCTGAAAAAAGAGATTGAAGAGGATATCTGAAAATGGAAAGATATCCCTTGCTCTTGGGTATGAAGAATCAACATAGTGAAAATGGCCATACTACCAAAATTGCTATACAGATTCAAAGCAATTCTGATTGAAATTCCAATGGTATATTACACAGAACTAGAGAAAACAATTCAAAAATTCATTTGGAATAAGAAGAGACCTAGAATAGCAAAAGCAATTCTAGGCAACAGAGACATGACAGGGTATATCACAATCCCTAACTTGATACTATACTACAAAGCCACTGTAATAAAAACAGAATGGTACTGGCAAAGAAAAACTCCTGAGGATCAGTGGAATAGATTGCAAGATACAGAAACCCCTCCAGATGTACTCATCTACCTCATCTTTGACAAAGGAGCCAAGCATCCTCCACAGAGGAAAGATAGCCTCTTTAATAAACTGTGTTGGAAAAACTGGATTTCAACCTGCCAAATATTAAAACTAGACCTGTATCTTTCACCATGTACTAAACTAAAATCCAAGTGGATTAAAGATCTGAATATTAAAACAGAAACACTAAACTTGTTGGAAAATAAATTAGGTGGACCTCTCAAAGACACTGGCATAGAAAAAGACTAGAATAAATCTTCAGCAGTACAGGAAGAACTAGCAGAAAGAATCAACAACTGGGATCTCATCTTATTAAAAAGCTTCTACACTGCAAGAGAAACCACCAACAGAGCTAAGAGACAACCCACAATGTGGGAAAAAATTTTACCAGCTGTTCCTCAGACAAAGGAATATTATCTAGGATATATAAAGGACTCACAACAATCAGGACCCCCAAATACAAAGGCCTGATTAAAAAATGGCATCTGAAATGAACAGACATTTCTCAGACAACGAAGTAAAAGCAGCAAATAAATATATGAAAAAATGTTCAATATCACTGAGCATTTGAGAGATGCAGATGAAAAGAACACTGAGAGTCCACCTCACCCCACAAAGAATGGCTGCTATCAAGAAATCAACCAATAAAAAATGCTGGCGGGGTTGCGGGGAGAAAGGAACCCTTCTCCATTGTTGGTGGGAGTGCAGACTGGTGCAACCACTACATGGAGACACTTCAAAGAGCTGGGACTAGAGGTTCCATTTGACCCAGCCATCCCTCTGCTGGGTATCCTTCCAAAAGAATTAAAAAATCATATCACAGAGATGTATGCACACCCATGTTTATAGTGGCACAGTTTGTAATAGCTAAAACTTGGAAACAGGCCATTTGCCCATCAGTTGGAGACTGACTAAGGAAGATGTGGTTTTTCCACAAAATGGAGTATTACTCAGCCATAAAGAATAAGAACTAGAGTAATTCACAGGAAAATGGATGCATATTGAGGCCATATGCTTAAGTGAAATAAATAGGACGCACATGTGTTAATACTGAATAGTGTCTCTTGTGTAAAAAACTAAAAGTGTAAATAAAATCCAAATTGTATAACTGATAATGTGAAATAGGAAGAAAAAGGCTAAAGGAGTAGGGGGAGTGGGAAGGGCAGGGGAAAGGAAACAAGGGAAAAGGAAAAATAGGAGAAAAGGAAAAAATCGAAATAAAGTCTTTGTAAACAGGGAAGGGTAGAGGGGGTGAAGGGAGGGTAGGGGTATGGGGGGAAAGTGAGAACCAAGATCTTTCACGTAAAGATTCAAGAACTCAATGATGAATATAACTGTACTGTATACTGAAAAAGTACCAACAAATGCAATTAAAAATACTGATTTACAAATAGTTGACTGCAGACATAAATGAGGTCTGTTTTGTTGTGTACTTTTACCATAAACCCCTCCATTTGTGTGTTTGTCTCTGCCTTGTGGCCCTTTGCACTGAGCTCCATCCCCAAGCTTTTTAAATTAACTAATTAATTAAATTATCCTTTCATTTTTAAATTTTGAGACAGGTTCTCGCTAAGTCACTAAGTTGCCTAGGCTGGGCTGGAACTTGCAAACCTCCTGCCTCAGCCTCCCAGAGTGGCGGGATGGAAGGTGTGGGGCTCTCTGCCTGGAGTGTCTCTTATTTTCAGAACACATCTTAACAGACTGCTGAGCCCCTAGTATGCTGTTTCAAAGGGCGGCTGCCATCTCTAAAAATCCTCTTTCACCTTCTTAGCTGAAGGTGTTTCCAGGTAAAAATACATGGAAGCTGAATAATCGCTGAACAAAAGGAAGGTGAAATACCACGTCCAGTGGTCATGAAGGAGCAGGGAACAAATGCCAGTTGACTTCTCATGTCCTACAATTCTTATGCAGTGACCAGCCGGGCGATCGGCAGGACTGGCAGCAGTGTCAGAGTCAGCGAGCTCCAGCTCTCCTCTGCAGGGCTGCCCTGCTGGCTTCCGGGGCGGGCGTGCTCTCTTCATCAGGCCTGGGCTCTCTTCTCTCTCCTGGTTTCCCTGCTACTCCCCAGGTCTTCTGCTCTTCTGCCCTGGGACGTAGTTTGCTCTAGTAGGTGGGAGAAGAGACATACATTAGTATCTGCTGAGGTATAAGTAAGGTTTTCCAGCTCCATCCAGATTCAGGTATTTTACCATTTAAGTAGCATTTCATAAAAATATAAGGTCCTGCATGGAAATAGCACCCAAGAGATTACCTAGGGGGCCCGAGGCTCAGGGTCACAGCTTGGACAGTGTCTCCAACTGTATCTTTATGTGCACCCCACTTTTTCCTGTTGCCTTGTAGGACTACTTGTGAGTTAACTCCCCCCAAAAAAATAATTAAATTGCCTTCCCAAGATGAAAGAAAAAAAATCTCAAAAAAGTGGGAGCAGAGTTGGTCTGTCATAACATTTCAACAATTTTTTTCTAATGTTTGTACTCTTTTTAGAGCAGGCATTTTCAGCCTTAAAAAATAATTGAAATTCTAAATCTCTCAAAAGATTATTTTTTTCCAGACAGGAAAGCTTCTAAACTCTGCTAAAAAGCCATTCTTTGGTGTCTTGACAATAATTCTAAAAAACAGGGAACTCTAATTTCTCAGGCAAAAGGGCCTAAGTCTTCAAACCACTAGTTTGAAACTGTGCTTCATAAACTGAGTTGGAAATCTGGCAATTTTACAGACAGATTCTTCAGAATAAAAGTATTGTCCCAGGTGAATCTAAGTGACGCAGAATGTCTCAATGCAAGTACCCCTGCATGGGCTTTAGAAGTCGCAGGCTACATTTCCCTGTCAAAATGAACAACCCTGAATCACAGAGCGACTTACTGAGTCACAGGACTGCTCAGCAACTTCCCCTTCTCCTTCTTCCGTGCTGTGCTTCTTTCTTTGACTTTGGCTTTAACTTTGACTTTTTGCTGTGCTCTGAAACCTGAGTCTGTGGCCTCATTAGGAAAAGCAAAAGACAGGAAATGTACTTTTTTTTTTTTTTTTGCTTTAAATGATCTTTATAGAATCCTAGCAGACACATGGCGAACACCAGAAACATTTCTTTCCTGGTTGTGACTGCACAGCCCTGACAATTATTGGGGAATCCACTAGGAAGATGCAAATTCACAGGAAGCAACTCTGATCTACAGGACCATTTTCATTCCCCAGAAACCTACTGCTGTGAGATCTCAAAACGACGAGGCCCAGGCTCCCACAGTGGTAGGAATACTTTTTCCACTGCATCTCCTGGTCTGCTGGCTCTCTTCGCTCTCCATTCAGGGCCTCACAATCCATACGCTGGTCCATCTTTCATTCAGTGGACTGCTTGCTTGGAACCTTGCGGTAGAAGAAAGCTGCTGAGCTCTTGGCATGTGAGAAGCAGAGAGCAGGGGAGACCCTGAGATGAACGGGCGGGGCGCAGCAGAATCCCCGAAGCCACTCCGGCCCTCACCGACTTCCGGCGAGGCCACCTCTCCTCTAGCCCACTGAGCTAGGATGAGGTGAGCACCCCGGTCTCTGTAGAAGTCTCTAAACCCAGCCAGCAGACTCCCAAGCTTCACCGGCACCGATGCATTCTGTTGCTTAAGCCGAAGTAAGAAATTTGCCTAAAGATGACACAGCTGTTCCACTGAGTATGCGAAGCGAGGCAGGGATGCAGCCCCAAGGACCTAAGCATCATCACGGTGCTGCTCTGCTTTCTGTATCCAAGCCCTCGCATACTTAACAGATCGTTTTTTATGTTTCGGACACTGCGAGGGGTACGAGCACAATCATGCACGTGTTGCTGTGCCCCGAGCCCGTTCCGTCTCCCCTCTGACCCGAGACCCTGGGTTGGCGCCCTGCTGGCTTCCTGGATCCGCTCCCCGACACAGCCCTGAGACGGAGATGGGAAGCCCAACCTCAGCCTTCCTCCCGCCAGGCTGCCCTGATGCTCTGGGACCCCTGGAGCCAGAGTGTGTCTGGCTGGCAAAACGCAGTCCACACCATGACATTCTGTTGGTATAATTTTTAAATATATTTTATGTTTTTAATAGTTTTGTATTTACAGGAAAGTTATGGGGATACAGAGCTCCTATTTACCTCACACCCAAATTCCCCCTAGGAATCCTACGTCAGGGCTACATTTTTCCTAACTACAGACCCAGTATCGGTATTTGTTGGTAACTAAAGTCCACTCTTAGCTCCGATCTTGCTTGTTTTTACCCATTGCTCTTCTTCTGTCCCCAGTTTACATCCAGTACACCAAAGCACACAAACTCATCACGTCTCCTAAGGGTACTCTGAGCTGTACCACTTTCCCAGCTTCCTTTTTGAGTTTTTGATGACCTCAACAGCTTTGAGTAAAATAGTGGTTAAGTGTTTTGCTGACACCCAGTGGGGAGTTGTTTGAGATCTGTCACGATCTGTGTCTGTAGCACTGCCGTCTTCCCATGATGTCATGCGTGCATCTGGTCAGCCTGGCTTCTCACCATGGTTGCTGGCTAAGGCCCTGCCGGTCAGATTCCTCCACTATCAGTCCTTTTCCCTTTCTGCACTGTATGCTTTGCAGGAAGTTACTTGCGCAGCCCGCACTTACCAAGGGGAGAGTTACATTCCACTGTTGTGGGTTATACTCTGGAATAACTACAGACTGTTTGGGATTCTGTGTGAAAGACTTGTTTCTTTTCTGCAATTTCTTCATTCTTTCATTCCATTATATCAAGATAAATGTAGGGACATTGCTTTATACTTTGGGTGTAAATAATTTATAAATATTTATAATTAAGCACTCAATGCTTTTGTTGTTCATACTATTCCACCCACAGCCCATGTGGCCGCTGTGACAATTCTGTGTCCATCTGCCAAACCCCATCATGGTGAGCTATCTCTAGTGGTCGCTTCTCACTTTTGGTTACTACAAGACATCAAGTCGCATCTCCTGTGTTTCTGGAGCAGTCCAAGAATGAGTCTAAGAAGGGCTGGCTCTTTTATGGAACACTACAAGAAACCACAAGCTGAGTGCTAGATGTTCTGTCCACTCCAGAGATGCTGTTGCTTCTGTTTACCTTCACATTGAGCAAGGAGCACCTACATGTAGCTATCTGTGTATCTGCAGTTCTGTGTGTGAATCTGTCCATCTACACTAAGTAAGACACAAGTTTCTACTGATGTTTCGACTCCAGTGCATCATGAAGATCATGATCACATAGCCTTTTGCTCTGGTTTGCCTGCGAGCTGGGAAGTGTTCAGACCCTCAGGGAATGTGGAAAATTCATAGCACTGAAAGCCCACACTAGGAAAATAGAACCAGTTCAAATAAACAGCCTAACAATGAATCTTAGACTCCTAGAAAAACAAGAACAAGAAAAACCCAAAGCTCAAACAAGAGAGGAAATTATAAAGATTAGAGCAGAAATCAATGCAATGGAAACAAAGAAAACACACACAAAAAAATGAATCAAAGAGTTGTTTTTTTGAAAAAATAAATAAAATTGATAAACCCTTAGCAAACCTTATCAAACAAAGGAAAGAAAAAGGCTCAGATCCATGCAATCAGAAATGAAAAAGGTGAAGGCACAACAGATCCAACAGAAATCCAGAGGATCATTAATACCTACTTTGAGAACCTGTGCTCTAACAAAATGGAAAAAACAGAAGAAATGGACAGATTTCTAGATACTCATGAATTACCAAAGTTGAACGAAGAAGATAAAAGCAATTGAAACACCCCAATTACAATCAGTGAAATTAAAAATGTAATTAAAAACTTACCAACAAAGAAAAGCCCAGGTCCTGATGGATTCACTGCTGAATTTTACAAGACATTTAAAGAAGAACTATTGCCACTACTGTTTAAATTTTTCAATGAAATTGAAAGGGAAGCAATACTTCTAAATTCATTCCTGGAAGCAAGTATCACTTTGATTCCCAAACCAGGTAAAGACACAACTAAAAAAGAGAACTATAGGCCAATCTCCTTAATGAACATAGATGCAAAAATCCTAATAAGATATTTGCAAACAGAATACAGAGGATCATCAAGAAGATCATACATCCTGACCAAGTCGGATTTATTCCAGGGATGCAAGGATGGTTCAACATATGTAAATAAATAAATGTAATACACTATATTAACAAAGTCAAGGACAAAAACCACATGATCCTCTCGATAGATGCAGAAAAAGCATTTGACAAAATTCAACGCCCATTCATGATGAAAAACCTACAAAAAATTGGGATAGATGGTTGATATCTCAATTTAATAAAGGCTATCTATGAAAAACCAACAGCCAACATCATATTAAATGGCCAAAAACTGAAAACCTTCACATTAAAATCAGGAACAAGACAAGGATGCCCACTATCACCACTCCTCTTCAATATAGTTCTGGAAACATTAGCCATAGCATTTAGACAAGGGAAATCCCATCTTACCCAGAGGAAAAGTCTTCACAATCCAGCAGCTACTGGGAACTCGTGCTCATGCTGTCTCTTCCACTTGAAGAGTATTTAGCACTAACATAATGAGTGTTTAACCAAGTGTTAAAAATGAACATCTCTTTTACAATCGGGCTAGCATGAGAGTGTGTTTTATAGTCTTCCAAATTATCAGTGTCATTGATACATAAATGCTTTACTAAAAAGCAGTATAAAGTAGCACACACACATGCACACCCCCATTGCACAGATGACCGCATTAAATTTCATCTTTTGCATTCAGTAGATGTGTAACCAGGCCATACTCTATTCATCTCTTCACCAGTCGGTGGTCGTCCCTGCTGGGCTTTTATTTTTTATTTTATTTTATTATTTTCCTCATTGAGTTTATTGGTACATTTTAGGTACACAATACAGTTATATTCATTATTGGGATCTTGTACCTTTACATGACAGGTCTTGGTTCCCATTTTTCCCCCTTGTCCCTGCCCTCCCTTCAGCCCTGCTCCCCTCCCCCTTTACAAAAACTTCATTTCCATTTTTTCATTTTCTCATATTTTTTCTTTTCCCTTATTAGCTTTCCCCTACTCTTCTCACTTTCCCTATACCTTGAGCCCCTTTCTTCCTACCTGCTGGGCTTTTAAAGCTCGCTGAATTGTGATGCATGTAGGGTGTGTGCAGTGGAGAGAGCTCTTCCATCCTCGTCACCAGGCTTCCTCCATCGCCTGCATTTTCCAGAGCCACTGTATTTATGGAAACCAAGAAAGCAACATTGGTACAGAGTTATTTGCTAAACCACAGATTACAGAATTTTCTCCACCAAAGTCCATTTTCTTACCCAGCTCCCTGCAGTGATCCCACAATGGATTTCCTTCTTTGCTTTCCCAAAAATCCTCCCATCTGTAAGAATTCCTTGGTTTTTCCTTGTTGGTTATGACCTTGGAATTTATATCAACGCCTGTCAGGTGCTGCACAGAAGGTGAGGCTCCTGGGTGTATCTGCTGCTTGGTCACTTAGTCAAAATGCTACTAGCTGGGCGTCTTCACTGTAAAGTCACTGTTTTCCCCCTTTTGTGACTAGCAGATATGTTGGGGAGACACGCTGAAACTGTGCAAGTGTCCTTTTTCTTCTTTTACCTAGTAATTTCAGTGTCATTTGGCAGATTTTGCCCAAATCATTAATGTAGAGGTATCACAGTGATTCTTTGTTTGATGGGTTGTTCATTAAAGTCAAATAATGCAAACATAGAAAGTTCTCATTTTATGCAAACTCTTTTATGTTATTAACAGTGCCCATTGTTTATTGAAAGTTTACTATGTGTCAGGCATTGTCCTACATATTTTATTTGTATGTCTTTGTGTCATTATCACAATGGCTTTGTGTGGAAAATACTTTTGAAATCAAAATTTTATAGAAGAAAAAGTGAGATATAGACTAGCCAAACAATAAGACCTTGGAAAGTCTTTCAGCCACGAACATGGGAAGGTATGTTGGGAATGTTCTAAGTCAGGATTTTAGAACAAAGGGGAATTGAAAAATGCATGCGGCATCTGCAGCATTCTTCCTGAGAATATATAGTCTAGAGCTAGTCATAGGAAAATATCATGTTAACTTGATGTGAGGATTAACCGATGTATTCCAAAAAACCACAAATGGCACAATTCACAACCCTGTCACACTAAGGGGCTGCTAATGGTTCCTCATGATATAAACGCAGGAAGCCTATAGAACGCAGAGATCTCTCCTTTCAGAGCTCCATATTTTAAAGAAGTTTAAAAATAGTGTAAATGTGCAACTGCATTTAGTCACTGAAGTTAGTAAAGCAATTCAATTTTAAGAAGGATAGTATAAAAGGCAGGTAGTTCAGGCACAAAAAGGACTTCTGAGATAAGACCTTGTATAGGATAACCTGAGTGACCATATAGGAATCTCAGTGTGGTGTAGAACTTAACCGTCAGTACCTAAACCCATCCTATCCATTCTGCACAATGAAGCCACATCTTCTAGTTTATCAAAAGGTGTGCGAGGCAGCAAGGCATGTGGTTCTGGGAAGGAAGAGATGACTGCATAGTTAAACTGAGTCTTAGACTGCAAATGCTGCGGCTCCACGGAGCCTTCCCTTGCTTCCCAGGAATTTAAAGCTGACAGACCCACCGTCTGGCAGTCCTCAGGGCGTTCACCCCATCCCTCTCATTCCCGGGATTCAGAGCTCCTTGAGTTTGCTACAGCTGAAGATCTCAGGCAGCGACAAGGGAGTTCAGCGCCCCGGCCCCTCCTCCTCTTCACAGGCCCCTCCTGTGAGCACGGACTCTGGCTCTCAGGCCTTGCCCGAAATGTGTTTCCCTCTGGAGGTTCTGATCATCACCACGGGGAAGACATCACTTTCCCTATACCTTGAGCCCCTTTCTTCCTACCTGCTGGGCTTTTAAAGCTCGCTGAATTGTGATGCATGTAGGGTGTGTGCAGTGGAGAGAGCTCTTCCATCCTCGTCACCAGGCTTCCTCCATCGCCTGCATTTTCCAGAGCCACTGTATTTATGGAAACCAAGAAAGCAACATTGGTACAGAGTTATTTGCTAAACCACAGATTACAGAATTTTCTCCACCAAAGTCCATTTTCTTACCCAGCTCCCTGCAGTGATCCCACAATGGATTTCCTTCTTTGCTTTCCCAAAAATCCTCCCATCTGTAAGAATTCCTTGGTTTTTCCTTGTTGGTTATGACCTTGGAATTTATATCAACGCCTGTCAGGTGCTGCACAGAAGGTGAGGCTCCTGGGTGTATCTGCTGCTTGGTCACTTAGTCAAAATGCTACTAGCTGGGCGTCTTCACTGTAAAGTCACTGTTTTCCCCCTTTTGTGACTAGCAGATATGTTGGGGAGATACGCTGAAACTGTGCAAGTGTCCTTTTTCTTCTTTTACCTAGTAATTTCAGTGTCATTTGGCAGATTTTGCCCAAATCATTAATGTAGAGGTATCACAGTGATTCTTTGTTTGATGGGTTGTTCATTAAAGTCAAATAATGCAAACATAGAAAGTTCTCATTTTATGCAAACTCTTTTATGTTATTAACAGTGCCCATTGTTTATTGAAAGTTTACTATGTGTCAGGCATTGTCCTACATATTTTATTTGTATGTCTTTGTGTCATTATCACAATGGCTTTGTGTGGAAAATACTTTTGAAATCAAAATTTTATAGAAGAAAAAGTGAGATATAGACTAGCCAAACAATAAGACCTTGGAAAGTCTTTCAGCCACGAACATGGGAAGGTATGTTGGGAATGTTCTAAGTCAGGATTTTAGAACAAAGGGGAATTGAAAAATGCATGCGGCATCTGCAGCATTCTTCCTGAGAATATATAGTCTAGAGCTAGTCATAGGAAAATATCATGTTAACTTGATGTGAGGATTAACCGATGTATTCCAAAAAACCACAAATGGCACAATTCACAACCCTGTCACACTAAGGGGCTGCTAATGGTTCCTCATGATATAAACGCAGGAAGCCTATAGAACGCAGAGATCTCTCCTTTCAGAGCTCCATATTTTAAAGAAGTTTAAAAATAGTGTAAATGTGCAACTGCATTTAGTCACTGAAGTTAGTAAAGCAATTCAATTTTAAGAAGGATAGTATAAAAGGCAGGTAGTTCAGGCACAAAAAGGACTTCTGAGATAAGACCTTGTATAGGATAACCTGAGTGACCATATAGGAATCTCAGTGTGGTGTAGAACTTAACCGTCAGTACCTAAACCCATCCTATCCATTCTGCACAATGAAGCCACATCTTCTAGTTTATCAAAAGGTGTGCGAGGCAGCAAGGCATGTGGTTCTGGGAAGGAAGAGATGACTGCATAGTTAAACTGAGTCTTAGACTGCAAATGCTGCGGCTCCACGGAGCCTTCCCTTGCTTCCCAGGAATTTAAAGCTGACAGACCCACCGTCTGGCAGTCCTCAGGGCGTTCACCCCATCCCTCTCATTCCCGGGATTCAGAGCTCCTTGAGTTTGCTACAGCTGAAGATCTCAGGCAGCGACAAGGGAGTTCAGCGCCCCGGCCCCTCCTCCTCTTCACAGGCCCCTCCTGTGAGCACGGACTCTGGCTCTCAGGCCTTGCCCGAAATGTGTTTCCCTCTGGAGGTTCTGATCATCACCACGGGGAAGACAGTGCCCCTCTGGGAACACGTTCCCCTATAACCGTCTGTTCTAATATCGCAATAATTCATCTTTCTATTTTGAGCCTTTGCACCTTATGACCTAGCTTCTGCTTCCAACCCTGAAAAAATGCTTTGGCAAGAAAATACTTCTGTATCTATCCTCTTGCTTAGAATAAAAGAGTGGAGGAAACCACAGGAAATAGAAATCTCCAAAATTTGTCTTTCTAAAATTATCTTCCCACAGTTGCTTCAAGAGAGAAGAAAAAGGCAGCACTACCCCCAGTGCTTGTCTCTGAAGCGCTGATACATGCTCAGAGGAGAGGAGGAAGATTCTAAAATAACTGCACCCTGACTAGCCTGGACAGTCTGAGGGGAGGTGACAGGGTTCTACCATGTTCTATCCTCCCAAGCAACAGCCTTGCGTGAAGTTGAGAGACAAATGAACAGCTGTGGGACACAGTGAGGGAAGGCAAAATTTTAGGAGTTTAACGGTGAATATGCCGTGCCTACATCTCCAGCCACAGACAAAAAGGAAGTGAGTTGTAATATTCCAAGGCATCATGGGAACTTTTCCGCATTTATCAGAAGAGGCATATTATCATTCAGTTTCACGCACGACCTAGTCTTGTAGCAACAGGTACCTTGTTAATCTGTCATTTATTCATTCAACTATCCTTAGATTCATAAAATATTAATAGCCATCCATTGTTCTAAGTATGAGAGGAATCAATGAACAGCACAGAAAAAGGAAACTCCTGCTATAATGTAGCATACATTCTAGTTGAGATAAAAAATACATAAAATAGATGGTACACCAGAGGCAGGTAAGTGAACAAAAATAAGATGATGGAGGACAATAAGGACTACTAGTGTGGCGAGGGGTTAGGTTCCGAAGAGCCTGTTCGTGAGAGGCCTCACGGGAAAGCTGACACTGAAGCCAAGAAAGGCGCAGCAAGCCCTATAGGGAGGGGCGTGGACACAGAGGTGAGAATGCTCCTGGCACAAGGAATGGCAAGGACAACACCCCGATGTGGAAGCTTGACCGGTCTGAAGAACAAGTTGGCAATGTGGCTGGAGCCAGAGTCCCAGGAGATGGGGTGGCTGGAGGAGGTCACACTGGCGCTGCAGGTCTTGGCCAAGCCTGGCTCTTCCTTTGACAGAGGAAGCCCTTAGAACATCTGAGGTGGACGAGTGACAGGATTCGAGGGCGTCACTCTGCACCTCGCTGTGTGGAGCAGGCTGATGGCCTGCAAGAGGAGGCGCTGCAGACCAGACGGACACCTGCTGCGGTTTTCAGTCCAGAGGAGATCAAACAGCCATGCAGTGCAGGGTCAGAGGTGAGAGGTGTTTAGATTCCTGATGAATTTTGAAGAAAGGGACAAAAGGATTGGATACCACAATTAAGAGGAAGCAACGTTAAAGAGGATGCTAAGTTCTCTGATTTTAGCTTCTGGAGGCATAGAGTTATCACTAAATGAGATGTAGAGAGGGGTCAATAGGTGTGCTGTCAGAAGTGGAGCTCTGTACCTGTGGGCGTGATGTTTTGATACAGCTATTGGATACCATGTGGACTGGACATTTAAATCAGAAAATTCAACTCAGCTACAAAGGGTAGAAGGGAAATGGGCTACAGCTGGCAGGAGAAATGCAGTCAAAAAAAGATTTTTAGAAAAACATACTGAGAATAGAAACATCCTCATCTCTGACCAGAAAGACACACTAGAGAGGAAATATGATGGTGTTGAATCTTTGATTTAAGCTGTTGGGTCTCAGAACTAGGCTATTTGTCAGTGAGTATAAAGTTCTTTCCATGGAAAGTAATTTGGTGGAATAAAGAAAGCATAGATTATAGTTGATTTATTTTATAAGCACTTTGCTAAAGGAATTATTCCATACTTATTTGATTCACAGCATTTCAATCTAGCACGTGATATTTGCCACGAGTGGCTCAGAGCTGGTACAAGAGTGAGCAGGAACGGTGTCCCGAAGGTGACACACTGGGAAAGGTCCATGAGCTTGAGCAGGATGAGGACAGACTGGAATTGTGGTGAGAATACAAGTGTGGGGAAATATCTGAGCCCTCACAAAGACAAAAGGTAATGTGGGACAAATCTTGGCAGGAAGATGAAGGTCCATGTAAGGAGCAATGGGAAAAACAAGTGAGGAAGGGCATAATTGTGCCAGAGCTAAGGGTCTGCAGAACTTAGTAACATCCGGGAAAGGAGGGAATCTCAGCGGACTCACACAGGGCTGGCTTGGGCCAGATTTTTTGAAACAATATAAAAATGTAAAGTGAGCTTAGAAGGTTAAAATGGAACTTTATTTTAATATCAAATTTGTAGTGAGCTGATGATAGGTTGATCTTTCATAGTATCTATAAGCGGTTTAAAAATATCACTAACTTCTTCCAAATGTTTGATTCAAGCTTTTGGACCTCGAGAATGTATGCACTCCAGAGGCATAGTTTGTAAAAGAAGGCAAACCAATATTCAATGTTGACCTCAAACAGATTTCTAGAAAAGGAATAGTTACAGGAAAAGTCAGTTCACAGATGACACTTTAGAAATTATTTGAAGTAGGGACTATCCTTTGTGGCTACTAGAAAAAATTCACAACAAAAATCCCCCAGACATGAATTTAAGAGGAAGATTTGCTCCTTTCGTATTTCCATCGCTATTATTCTACCTAGGCAATCGTTAATTGCAACTCTGACACATGCAGGTGCAGAGGAAGTTCAGTCTGTCACTGATTATAATTTAGAAACACAAACTAATGGGCCTCGGAGGAAAATCAGTAATGGGAATCAGAGAAGATGCAAAGAAGAAAATGTGGTTAAAATTTAGTTTATTACACATTTGTCCCCATCACTAAAAACATAGAGTTAAATTTTCAGATCTGAAATTAGTTCTAAACCTGTGAGCCGGAGCTAGATGTGGTGATTATGTGTCCTCTCTTGATGAGAAGTGGACACTATCTGAGTCAAGCCCAGGATGTCTACACGAGGCAGGAAGAGCCCACTGTTTAAGAAGCCAGGAGGAGCTTTAAAGAAAGTAGCTCCTACATGACAACAGCTGATTGTTGCCAACCCAGAAAGAACGCAGTACTTCAATTTTTCACTTTTCAAAAGAGTAAGAAGTCTAAATTTTAAATTGAAATTTCCCAATTAAAACAATAGAACATAAAAAGTACTGGAGGGGTGAGATACAAAACCCATCTATGTGGCGCGCTGAGTCCTCAAGTGGCTGGATTGTCATCTCTGGTCACTTTGGGGAGAGGCCCTGAATGTGTAATCACCCTCTCAGGCAGACCTATGCCTGGATAAGAATTGCTAAAGCTTTCCAAATGTTCTTGTCCAAATGCATTTCTTGAGATAAATCAGTTCCCCCCTAACTCAAGGATTTGTTTAACTTTCCATTTTTGTTTCTAAGTTGATTTTGATTTTGCCTTAATATTTTCTCTGCCTATCATAATCAATGTTCTAAGAAGTGTGGTGGTTTAGAACCAAGGAGCCCCAAGAGTCTCATGCATTCAGGTGGGAGGAGGAGGGGGGTCTAAGGATGTGATCTACAAGTGTCTCTGGCTCCTTCTCTTCCTGCTTCTTTGCTGCCACGACTGAGCAGCTCTCCTCCTTCCCATGTTCCTATTTCTGCACTGGAGCCAGACCTCATGGACTGGATCCACTGAAACCATGAGCCACAAGCAAATACTCTTCAAACTGCAGATGTCACACATTTGTCCCAGGGCTGGGAAAGCTGACTAATACCAAAACTAACAAGAACACAGTATTTTCAGGTAGCACAAAGGAGTTGTAAATTATTTTGATAGCCTATCTTCATGTTTAAGGAAACACTGAAATTTATCAGGGTGTTACAAATATTTCTAAATTCCTTTCCACATTCAGCTGTTCCATGACACCCAGAAAAGATCATCCAATAAGGAACTCAGCAGAAAGAGCTCTGGCCCAGGCTTAGAAACTGAATTGCAAATATACCTGCACTATATCTAAATGTGTGCCCTGTCTAAGTGCTTATACATTCCTCATGCCAATAGCACCCCATGGTATTCTTTCCTTATGGGTTTAGAGTGTGCCACAGAATTTGAATGCATGTTGGAGTGTCATCTTTACAGTGCCTAAGGTAGACGCTGAAGAGTCCTTATCCAGTTTGTACCTCCAAAACCAGTCTGTACAGCATCTACTTTTCCATTAGCTCTTTCTCATTTTCCTGAACTAGTTCAGGTTTCATTATTTTTATTCATTGTCTCCAACTTTAATGTGCACATCCATTATGTGGGGATTTCGGTAAAGTCCAGATTCTGATGCAGATGAACTGAGGTCAGGCCTGAGAGCCTTGTCTTCTACAAACGCTTAGGACCTCCAGGATCAGTCTGGTCCCTCCTACTGCTTATACTTTCTTTATTTCATTCTCTTCTGCTTCTTGCCCAATTCTTCTCATGAAATATTCCAAACCTGAGCTACATTTCAGCTCTCCTCAACCAACCTTAAATCTCTGCATAAGATGTCTCTTTTTCACAAAAATAGTAGAAATTCATAGAGATCTAGGGTGAAATCATCTTCCTTTAGCCATAACTTGCTTTGCTCTCAACTTTCATCTAAAGGTACTAGTGGAGCAGTTCAGGTCATTTTAATATTAGAAACAGAAAGTTTTAGATTGCTGGAGAAAACACACCCATCACCTGTAACTTAAAAGAGGATTTATTTGGCTTACAGTTTCCAGTGTGTTCAGTTCCTACTCAGCTGACTCTAAGGCAGAAATACATGAAACAAGGGCCTGGTGGAGGACAACAGCTCATATCTTGCCAGTCAGGAAGTAGAGAAAAGGGAGAAGCAGCAGACAAAAATATACCCTTCTAGGTCACGCCCCACCAGGGCCCAGCTCCAACCAGCCCCGCCTCCTGACAACACATTCAGCAGATCAAGCCATCCATGAATTTGTCCACTGATGGGAGCAGCACCCCCATAGCCAAGTCACCTTTAAAATCAGGAGACTTTGGGGGAACATATTAGACCTCAACTGTAATACCCTGCAAACTTAAAGAAGGAAGTGATCATCTTCTGCGCTACCCTCAACCTCTATCCCTCCGCTCTCCCAGCTATTGGAGAAACTCATGGCAGACTCAAGGCAGTTTGCAGACTTAGGCTTGTACTTCACTTCTCCTCACCCAAGAAGGCTGCTGAAAGTTCAGATTTTTGTGGATCAGGAAATAGTACTGCAAAAGCAGTTCTCTTTTTCCCTTCTCCCTGAGTTCAGGTCTGGAATTACCTCTCTGTACTGTCAGCTCTTTGAGAACCTTTGTATTCATTAAAATGTAATTTATCTGTCTTAATTATTTTCAACAAGGCAACTTGTTCCAACAACCCACCTTTGCAGCCTCAGAAAGAATATGTCTGTAAACATTTGTTAATGATAGTCTTTTCCCCACTCACAGGACACAAGCTCTATGTGGGCAGTGGAGGAAGTCTCTTATAGCCTACTGTAACTAGGGTCAGCGCACAGCAGGTGCTTGGAATGGCTGCTTCATGAAGGGAATTTGTCTTGCTGAGCAGAACCAGGAGATTGTCCCTGGAAGGTAAGGTAGGCAGGCAAGATAGAGTCCCCAAGACTGACTTCCTGGCCACCTAGAGCAAAGTGGGAAGCTGTAAGGTATGGCCATGCTTCTGGCACTGGATGGTTCATATTTCTTCACCGCACATTTGAGAATGGGCTGAAACATATAAGATGACTAGAAAGAAATGATAATTGTCCTTAAAAAGAGCCTACCCTCTATGAAATATCTCTCAAATAGTTTGCCTTTCAGTATTTTACTATCTACAATTAAAAATAGCTACTGCTTTCTGGCAAGGATTGTAAGAAAATCATTAAAAGATCATGACCATCTATCTTGGACTGTCATTTATTAGATAGATACATTTACTTTTTCTCTTTGAGAAGTTCAAGTTTTAAATTGTCTTTGGTCTTATGAGATGGATGATGAGAATGAAATGTGTGAAAAATTAAACTTCTCCAGTGGTAAGTGTAAATGATTCAGGAGTTATGCTGCAGACCGGTTCATTCATTAATTCAGTTTAACCATTTGTAAAACAGACCAGTAATGGTGACTGCAGTAGGGCTTGGCTGTCAGTTTTCAAAACGTTTAGGCCCCTGTAAAGAAGGCCCTTAGAGAACACAAAGCACTGTTATTACAGGCAGGTTATGGAGCAGCTGTCAACAGCAGCCACTGATCTTTTCATGTGAGCAATAGGTTCAGTGGGGGAAGGCACAGGAGCCTCAGGCAGAATTACACAAAATCCTTTCCATTCTAGGCTTACTCATCAATAATTAACCTGGCAAATCTTGAGTTTGCTTTGAGTAAAAGGAACCATTCCCCATAAGCCTCTTGAAATGGTGAAGAATATAATTCTTATCTATGACTTGTGGAAAAGACAGCTAGCCTGAAATGAAATAAAGTATGATAAATAGATGATGGTAAAGATAACTTCTTATCAATATATCTCATAAAATCAGAATAGCATTCTAAAAGTTTTTGATGTTTTCATCTCTTTGGCTGCAAGAACATTTAGACATATAAAATATTAACATAACTGTGACGATGATCTTTGGTATGCTTGTTCAAGAAAGCACATACATTTCCAAAATACATACTTGATATATTCTCCAACCTCTGAAAGGGGCCAGCAGAGGCACCACACTGAAGATGTGTTTGGTCTTTGCAGAACTGTCCTTTCCAATTAGAAATTGAAGTCATTTTATTGTAGGGAAGGAAATATTGGATTTTAGATTCGTGTGGAATCAAATTTAAATTCTACCTTGCTATTTACCAGTTACATGACCTGAAATTTAAAGAACCTTTCTGAATCTCTGTGAGCTTTTTATTTATAAAATGGACAAAAGTGTAGTTAAATGATGTGAATGTCAAAGGCTTGTTTGAGATAAAATACTTAGCACAGGGCCTTCATAACATATTAAATATAATATTTATGGGTTATGTTTGTATCATACTAGAATCCTGTCATCTAAATTAATACATCCCCTATGTGCCCCTTATATATGTTTTCTACAAAGTAACTGAGTGTAGCTTTGACATTAGTCAAGTTTTAATCTAAAGAATGGTCAACAAAAACTGCATTTCATGTTTGGGTTTGAGCATTCACTGTGTGCAGTAGACACTGAGAGAATTCTTAGAGAAGTTTTAACACTTTGCAACATTTCAGGAACTTAGTGCAGAAAATACTCAAGCAAATAAAGCTAGACCATATGTAAATAAAGGAAAAATGAATAATAATATTCTCAAATATAATTAGAGTAACAGTGGGCTTAAAATAAGTGAACAGGTTTTTAGCTTGGCCTAAAGAAATTCGTGGGTGGAAGAGGCTAGGAAACAACTCAGGCAGGAAGAGGAAGAGCAGAAACTGGAGCAGAAGTGAGAGAGCATGACATATTTGGGGACAGCGAGGGACCTGGACTTACCCATCTTGCCAGCTTAAATAAAAGGTGACTATTCTATTAAAGTTAGCTTCCTCTGAAAGGAAGCACCTCCCAATACTTTGCATTAAAGAAACACTGACTACTTTGTTTAAAAAAATCAAGAAACAAAGATCTACCATCTCATCTATAAAAGGAAGTGGTCACTCATCTCTCCATCCCTGGAATGGAGCACTCAGGACGCTTACCTTGTAAAGGGCGAAGGCTTATTTTGGTTCACAGCTGTGCAAGTTCCAGTCCACAAGCAATAGCCCTGGTTGCTTGTGGTTTGTGGAGAGGCAGAACATCGAGTGGTACAGCCAGACTTTTCTCCTTAGGAGGACCGGGGAAAGGTGAGTGGGGAGGGCCCATGGTCCTCCAATTCTTTTCAAGGATGTGTCCTGATAGTCTGCTGCCTTAGTCAACTTCGCACTTCTGGGACAAAATACCCAACAGACACAAATTAAAGGAGAGGTTTGCTCGGGCTCATGTGAATATAAACCATAACACCTGCTGACCCACTGGGCTCCAACTTTTACAGCTTCTGCCTCCTCCTGAGAAGTTCCACCCTGAGTACCGAGCCATCAGCATGTGGGTCCCTGGAGGACAATCAAGATCTAACCCATTGCAGGATGTGATTTTAGAAGAGGAAGGCAGAATTCCACACACCTTCCCCATATCAGTGAGCTCTGCCATTGCTGAGACACAATGCCCGACACATGCACGTGCGCACACACACACACACACACACACTTTAAAAAAGCTTTTTTGGGGGGCTCATAGTTTCAAGAGGATTCAGTCCATGATCAGCTGGCTGTAAGGTAGAAACAACATGCTGATGGGAGTAGCAGAGCAAAGACCCACCCAGACACAGTCCTGAGAGTGCTTCACCCATCCCTCCTGACAGATCCAAGCCAGTGACGCTCACCCTCCAACCTAAGTACCCGTCTCTCATCTATGGACTCAGCCAATGGCTCCTCCATCTTCAGCTCATGGAGCTGACAGAGTGGACCTGTCCACTTCACCCTTGTCAGTCTCACGCTAATTGTGAGATTAGGTGCACACACTAGAGCTCCTTTGTGCCTGGAAGTAACATGTTTTTATCAGATGAAGGCTGGTCACAAGGTCACATGTAGCTGTAAGACAAGTACTCACCAAAAAGAGGACACTACTGATGTTAGAGAAGTGTAAGCATCTTTCAGCTCAATATTGTAAACAAATAAATGTTCCAGATCCCATTTGTTTTATTAAACATGACATTCTCATGTATCCAAAAAGCCCTCTAGTTTTAGTTTATCAGATTTGTGTGAGCATTCGTGTTAACATTTTTTAGGAAGAGGCTATCATCTTTTTCAATTCTCCTCTTCAACATTCTATAATGAAGTGACTAATATCTCTTCTTTAGTCTTCAGGGCCACTCTAGCTTTGTCACACATTTTACAAAATGCAGTAGCCAGAACTATACCACATTCCAAATGCAGATACACTCCTATTTTGAACAAAGTAGATTGGTGCTTTCTACTTCTTTTCAAAAATAATTTCCGATGCTGCCATCTGCATTGTGAAGACTTCAAATACAGCTTCACAGGAAAGTCTAGAATGAATCCTACATGCTTTGGTCTTGTTTTGGGCTGTGCAATTTTGAGGTTAAAATCTGATTTCCTTTAAATGGGTTGGTTCTCAACCTAAGATGTTTATTACAATTATCTGAGGAGCTTTAAAAACGCTGCTGCTGCCTTCTTCCCTCAAGATTCTGAATTAATTTGTCTGACATAAGGCTCAAGTATTAACATTTTAAAAATCTATATATTCATGTAATATCTTGGGATTTTAAGCACTCTCATACAACTTTGTGCATTTTTCCGATTGTATCCTAATTTCTTGCTTGCATATAGACTTATACAAGATCAAAACTTCCCAACATTTTCTCCCATTAGCTTGGAATTAGCACATGGGAAAACTATGTGGCCCTCTGTACCCCGTGACACACTTTGCATTTCAGCACATATAACACAGATGGAAGCAAAGGTGTCTGATGCTCTCTGTCCTCCAGTTCCTGCATATGAACATGGCATCTACATTACCTGTTTGTCATGTATATCTGTGTCTGTTGTGTGTGGGATATAAAGGTCTGCAGTTTTCACTCCCCTCTCCTCTAACCCTATTCCCTCTCAAAGAATCCATGCATATATAGTTCAGAGTTCTCCAGAGAATCATAACCCATAGGGCCGGTATGCTCTACATCATAAGGAATTGGCTCACACAGTTTTGTGGCCGAGAAGTCCTATGATCTCCATTCTGTGAGCTATTGATCTAATTCAATCCTAGGGCAACAGAAGACCAAAGTTCCAGCTCAAGCTGGCAGGCAAAATACAGATGACTTCTAATTCTCTCTGCCTTCTATTCTATTTAGGTCTTCAATGGATGCAGGATATAGACCCATTATGGAAAGGATGATCTCCTTAGAAAATTCATTGATTTAAACACTAACTCCACATAGAAACACCCTCCCAGCACAGTCAGAGATGTGTTTAGTTGAGTATGTGGGCACTTTGACACACAAAGCTGACATCACAAGCCTTCAGGACCATAGCAGTGTGGACTTCTGGACGTTTTGAGGAGAGGAACAAAGCTGAGTTTTCCACTGTGTATTCTTTTTTTTTTTGGACCGGGGATTGAACTTGGGTCCTTGCACTTGCAAGGCAGGCCAATGGACTGCTGAGTTAAATCCCCGGCCCATCCAATGTGTATTCTATATAAAAAACCTAGAGTCCTCACTGATGACCACTGGACATAGCATCCCCTTGTAGATTTAGCTAATTTTGATTTCGAATTCTTACCACTGTCAATTCAAGCTGTTCTCTTTTTATTCTTTGGTGAAATCCTTGTCTAAATCCAAGGTGGTACTCTCAAAATATCTGAATTTCAAGCCAATGCCAGCCTTCATAAAACTAGTAACCTCTAGTTGCAGTGATTTCAGTTACTTTAGAATTTAATGTGAATGTTAACAGTGTTACTAGATATATATTAAAGTTACTGTGATATAATTTATAGCATATCATCTTTACTACACTGTCCACATATTTTTCAGTCTTTGACCCTTTCATCTAGGGTCAGTAATCTTCTGTAGGGTCTTGTATATTTAGTTATTTTTCTTATTGGTTTATTTTAGCTCACAGTTTGTAGAAGTTTCAGTCCCTAATTGGCTGGCTTCAAAGGAGAACATCATAGCAAAGGGATATTGCAGAGTAGAAACAGTCCATGGCAGGATAGGCAGGGAGCACCAAGTACAAGTAACAGAGAGCTTCCCTTTCCCTTTTATTCCATCCAGGATACAAACCTTTTGGGTGTTGTGACCACACTTAGGGTAAGGTCTCTGGGTCTAATTTAGTACCACACACTCTCAACCCTAGTAGGATACACACCAGAGCTTACCAGCTCAAAAAGCCTCACCCATGAGCATATAAGGCTATGGTAGACATCTAGATACAAGCCATGACAGACCTTAAGTGTCATTCTCCTCTGCAAGTACTTTCTCAGACAAATGTTTCCACACCTCTGGGAGAACTTCTCATGAATAAGCTTTTTGTTTCCTCAAATCACTTTTTTTTTTTGGTACTGGGGCTCGAACTCGGGTCCTTGTGCTTGCGAGGCAGGCCACTGAACCGCTGAGCTAAATCCCCAGCCCCTCAAATCACTTTTCACTTGGGTAGTGTTACATAATTTTAAAAGTATCTTCACATGTATTCTCATGTTGCAGCTTTTTATGGAACAAGCATGTAAAAACTGAAATAACAGCTACATGATTAAAACCCTAAATGAGGCAATTTAAAGTGAACAACTACTAATTTTTGTCATTCTGTTAGCATCACCACCATCGTCATTGTTTGTGATTCTGTGTCAACTGCACAGGTTGCTGTTCTAGCCTGGTTTGCTGATGTGCCTACAGCCATGGCGGCTCCACTGGGCCAGGAAGCTGTAAGGAATGCAGTTCCAGTCCAGGGTCATGGAGCTGCTGTTGCCTCCTGAAGGGAGTGTGGAGCCCCACTGTAGAAAGCAGCAGGCATGGGACATGAGGACTTGTGCTTCACTGCCCAATGTGTGGCACATCCTCTTCTTATTTAATTATCACAACCGCTCAGAGAGGTAGCAGGATTATTTCCTACCTTTTTACAGTTGATGAATCTCAAGATACGAAGTCAATGATATAACTACTCCATCTTAGATGGCAGAACTAGGATTTAAAATGAGGCATTGCCAATCAAAAATCATAAAGACTAAGATGTGTACACACATCCTCATTGTACAAAACTGGGTGCTAAAGCTCACTGATAAATTGGTAAATAAATGATGTTCAATCATCTATATTATATGACTTAATAGTTTTTCCAGTTTACAAAATAAATATTTGAAAGCACAAAGTCTGATCTTATTACTTAACATTTTAGATCTACCTCTCTATAGGAACAGATTTTAAATACTTTCTCACTTTAAATACTTTCTAAGAAAAAGTGATTTTCTTTTTATTCAAACTACAGAATTATTTTGGAATATGCATAAAAGGAAAAAAAGGAGATATTTCAGATCTCAGCAGTAAAAAAATATATCCACCAAAGTTTTCGCTAAAGCATTTTTCAAGATTTTGCCTCAAATTTGAGGAGCCCACACATAATTGACTGTAATCTCACTGCATTTCCTCCACCCTAGCTGCAAATCCCACTTTAAAGCACAGCCAGCGGAAATGGATGAGAGCAGCAATTCCAAGTAGCAGCCATCATGGAAAAGGAAGCGCTGGGCCATCAGCCACTGCAAGTTCTTGCTTCACTACATGAACATAACCTTTGCTCACTTCTACGAGATCAAGAACATTTTGGAAAAGACAGGTATATGAGCCTATATAATACAAACGATGCTGTCTATATTTCTATACACATGAATTTTATAGATTCATATATGCACAAATATGCATATATATTTTAAGCATAAAGGAAAAGAACTGTTTGAATTATATCGATCATCACATCATATGCAAACCCTGGTACAGTATTATACTGTCATTTCTTCCCTCCTTTTAAAAAGCTGTGATGGGGCATTTGTTACAAAAGATAGCATTTGGATTCACTACCATGCAGGTGGCCTTATTTTTGTAGTTATTTAAACATTAATTACTAGTATCAGTAATTTTATACTAGAAAGAAACCACACATTCACTTAGGAATATTGAAAATTACAGAAAAATTTTAAAAAGTATGAGTACCTCTTGTTCTCTGACTAAATACATATGGCCTTGGTTTGCTGATGAGTATGTTTTTTATCTGGAGCATTTTTATTTTGGTTTTTGCACATGATCTTGGCACTTTCTCCTCACTGGAACACAATGCCTGACATCCATGACTTAATGGAAGGGAGTTTTGTTTTCGCTCAGGTTTCAATCCATAGTTAGCTAGCTCCAAAGAGGAAGTAACTCAGCAGCAGTTCGGGTACAGGGAAAGCTGCTCACCTCACGGTGGCACTGAAGCAGAGAGAAGGGAGGAGCCAGGGAGGAACCAGAGAGGGAGACAAATCCTTCAGGTCATGTCCCCCAGGGACCTCTCTTCTGACCTTCTGCTGACAGTAAAGCAGCTATGTCATCTCTATAACTCAATCATCTTCCAAAAGCCCTGCCTAGGAGCACATGTGGCCTTTGGAAGATCTTGATCTAAACTGAGATACATCTTTAGGATTATATATATATATATATATATGTATATATATATAACTTTATGAAAATTTACCTCCTGTCAAATGGATACTTGTGAAATTTTCCTTTCATGAACTTTTAGAAAGTGTTATGCAAAATAACTACTTTCATAAAATACTGTCACCTAGTTGCCTACTTCTCCATTATTCTATATTGAAAGAGTAATGCTTATTTAAAGTTATTGTTATCAATACAAACTGCTGAAAATCTTTTCATGTTTTTATAACTGAAATGATTTTTTGGATGTATTTCCAGAATATGCCACAGATTAAAAATCTTTTTAAGGCTATTGATAAGTATTGCCAAATTACTTTCTAGATAGCCTGAATGTATTTGTGTTCTTAAATGTAATTTATGAAAGGGCCTGTTCTACTAGCATTATCATTACTTAGTTTTAGTGGGACATAATGGACATATACTAAATAACCAAATTCTTGGTTTATATCTTTCTAAGTAGAATTTAATGAATATATTCTTTTATTGTTAGTTAAATAGGCAAACTTAAAATATATGAATAGCTTAATTATAGATATATAAAAGTAATTATACATTTTCAATATTTTAGTTATTTTAATTGTAACTTTGAAGAATCCTTAATTTATTGAGATATTTCATCTTTAGATTTCATGATGTTTTGAATTCTGCAAGGATGTGGGTGGACTGAGCCACCCTGGTCCAAGATATATTCTTTAGTTATGTTGAGTTGTTAACTACCACATAAACATTGTGTGGTGGCTAAGTTCAATCATGCCACTTGGGAACTGCCTAAGTGATTAGTAAAGCACACTTCTGGGTGTGTCTGGCTAGGCCAGTGAGGTGTGGACTTAGGGTCTATATCTGTCCCTGGCCCCTTCCTCTCTGGCACCACTGTTTTGCTCTACTCCCCATCCACCATGAACTAAGCATCTTTTCTCCACCACACCTATCTGCCTCGATGCTTCTACCTTGGCCCCAGCTGAACTTGGACTGAATCACAACTGTGAGCCAAAATAAACCTTTCTCTCTCCATTATGGACTTTGGGCATTGCAGCCCAGTGATGGGCACTCTGTCTAATACTACTGGCTATTGTGTACAAATTAGAAACTACCTGGGAAAGTGAGACAAGAACTGAATGAAAGGAAATCTTTTGTTATAATTGTCACTTTCAATGGGTGTAAGGTATGGCTTAGTAGAAGTTTTCAGAAATTGATTCCTTTCACGGTCAGCCCATTAGGTGTAGTGAATCAGAGCTAAAGGATCCACTTGTTGAATTAAATCTAAATCAATTGAACAGTCAATAGAGCAAATACATAAAGAACAAAGAGTAACAAATATTTTGAAGACAGCATTATTAGTTTGTCTACAAAGTTTACTTTTTGGGGGTGAACATGGGGTAAATGGACCATACACTTGACTCCTTTTTTTGTCCTTGTCTTTTAATGTTGGAGAATTCACACATAAGGGATGTATCTGGACAGTATCCCAAGTACAAGCATGTTTAACTCCATACAGATACCTGGAGAAAAGAATACTATTTAAAATTCAGGGTTATAAAGGCCCTAAAGGCAAAATAATTGTAGTAAGTCAACAGGCACAATATTTCCCAAGGGCCATCACCCTCCTATCTCTTATTTGATGGTCCATTTACTTTTCCCACTGCACTACTCCTGATGATGTTTTTGATGATGTTTGCTTCTGGGGAGAGGAGGGAGGAGAAAGAAAATGTACATTTGTGAAGTGGACTATGCAATATTTTTTTATTGCACACTGCACATTATCACTCATTTCTTTCCCTATCATTTCCTTAGCTTTTTTCTATCTACAGTGGAAGATAACACAGAATTAACATTATATTTTCTCAGTTTAATCACTGTACTAAGGATAGTTTGAAGGGGTATTCACTATAGTTTGAAGCTTCTTGTATGTGAATATGGATACACACAAAACCCACATAGCATATAAGTCATCTATTTTTCTTCACATACACCTATGAATGCTATGGATCCCCCAGCTGCCCGGACCATGGACCAGATACATATCTGAATTATGATTCATGATGATGTATCTGACTGTGTTCTTCTTTGAAACAAACTGACTTCTGGAAGGCAGGAGCACATTTTATTTACCTCCAAATGTGGCCATCAGATATTAGGTTGCCCAAGCTTGATTTGTTTGTATGAAGTGGGAGTGTTCTTTATTGATATGAGTAACATCTGAAGCTTTGATTTGGGAAGTCATATCGCCATATGGCACCAGGGGATCAAAGTTTACTCAACATTTTCTGTAGTTTTTGAAGCAACTTCACCTGATGAGTAGCCATCTTGAAAAGCAGGAAAATAACCACAAATTGTTACATTTGCTACTTTCAAATTTTAAAACAAGCGGAAGGCACAATATCTGATATATAGATGTAATGCTCATTGAAAAAACTCAAGAAACTTACTTTCTGAGCAACTTATTAATTCGCATTCAATTATTAGCTTTGGGAAATCTTTAACGTCAACATTAAGTCCACAGCAAAGGAGGCAAGCAACACCAGGGTTACAGATCCAGTGCTGAGCTTGAACGTTCTCCGGAGGAAGCGGCCCTGGGCTCGGGGAGGGAGGGAGGGAGGTGCAGCGGGGTGTGCGGCACATTTAGGACTGCTGGACTAGTTACATCTGGGCTGCTAATCAGCTGTGTAGCTACTGTTTACCTTTCTTCATTTTCGTAATCTTGTCTACATATTAGAAAGAAAGAAAAAGGGTGGGGATGATAACACGTCTTCAGAGTACCACATCATTTTACTATTAATGTGGATTTCGCTGCGGTACCCCAGGGCACAGTTCCCTACAATCCCTCTCTGGAGTGGCCCAATTAGGGAACAACACGGCCCCTAAGCATCAATCCCCTCACCTGCTCACTGAAGCTTTATCATTTTCAGTACAGTAGTTTTCGTCTAATTAGTACTAACGAAAACAGACATTCTGAGCTTCTTTTGGGAAATGAGCCCCAAAGGTATGAGGGTCTTTCTTTCTTATTTTCAGTTGCCTGAGCCCCTTCCCACGATCTTTTAACCCCCCAATCCCCAAGGAGAAAGATCCAGAAATAAATTACAAATCCCAGGTGCCAAGGCGGAAGTCACACCCTGTCCTGTCCCGCCCTTCTCCCCTTAAACCCAAGACGCTAAGTGCAGACGAGGCAACCTGCGCCGGGCCTACAGCAGATGGAGCGCAGGCCCCGCAAGCCCCCGTAACCGGTGCTGAGCGTGGAGGGGACAGCGAGTGATTGTGCGGGAAGGGCGTGGGCGCACGCACCACCTGTTCGGGACGCGCACGCGCACCGCGAGAGCCGGCGAAGGACGTGTAGCGCGGGGATTACCTGTTCCGAGGCGCACGCGCACCGCGAGGGCCGACGGGA